CCAGAACCGCATTGTCACAGGGGGTCATGATGGAGAGTAACAGAACAGTAGGATGCTGTAGGTATGACAGCTAACATAAGCCATGGAAGTATAAGTATAAGTATAAGCAGGGGAATGTCGAGTAGGAATAGGGAGGTGGTAGTACTTCACTATACAGCATTAAGGAGACTATTACTGGATATTGTGTCAAAAAAGAGATGCTGACAAATTCGATGGGGTTTGGATAAGAGAATGATGGAAATCCTGCTTTGTAATGAGAGACTTAAGAAGCTCAATCTATTTAGCTTATCAAAGAGGAGGTTAAGAAGTGACTGGATCATAGTGAGGAGATTTCTGAGAGCAGAAGGTTCTTTAATTTAGTAAACAAAAGCAGGAAGATGCCCAGTGGCTGGAAAATTTGTCTAGATAAATTCAGGTTGTAAATATGTTTAACAGTCATTATGGTAATTAATCACTGCATTATATTTCGCAGGGATATGATGGACTTTCCATCATTTGAGGTCTTGAAATCAACACTGGATGCCCCGACTCCACCCCTGCCCTGCCCCCATTCCAACCCCTTCCCCAAAGTCCCTGCCCCTATTGGACCCCTCCCCAAATCCCCGCCCCGGCCCCGCCTCCTCCCCTGAGCGCACCGCGTTCCCCCTTCTCCCCCTCCCTCCCAGCGCTTGTCGCGCGAAACAGCTGTTTCGCGGCAGCAAGCACTGGGAGCAAGGGGGAAAAAGCGGGCATGCGGCGCGCTCAGGGGAGGAGGCAGAGGCGGAGGTGAGCTGGGGCAGGGCAGGGAGCTGCAGGTGGGTGCAGATCATCCATCAGTTTTTCCCCGTGGGTGCTCCAACCCCGGAGTACCCACGGAGTCGGTGCCTATGCCAGATACCTAGAGAAGGTAGCAACTCTGCTCTGCTTCCCAGGGGAGTAAGTCAGGGCCGTTCCCTAGACAGAGTGGATGAACCCTTGCTCCAGATCAGTGCGTCATGTGATCTTGTATAATTTATAGCTCAGTCCCTGTAGGCTGCGGTTGGGAAAAGGAAGGATCCTTTCAGGATAGGTTACTAATATCCTCGCTCTGGAAGCAGTAACAGCACTGAGCTTAATGAACAAGATCAAACACTTGTTCCCTTGACCCCCTGTGCAGGATTTCCATTTTTCAAACCCAACCTGATCTCCCAGCTGGAATGAGGGCAGGAGCCATGGGTCCCCCACAAAGGCGCCGACTCCATGAGTGCTCCAGGGCTGGAGCATCCACGGAGAAAAATTAGCAGGTGCTTAGTACCCACCAGCAGCCAAGCTCCCCCGTCCCGCCCACGGGCAGCCCCAACAATCAACTCCTCTCCCTCCCTTCCAGCGCCTCCTGAACACTGCGGAACAGCTGTTCTGCAGCATGCAGGAGGCACTGGGGGGGGGCATGGGGATGAGGCGGGCTCAGGGGAGGGGGCATAAAGAGGCATGGTGGGGGTGGAGCCTTGGGGAAAGGGGTGGAGTGGGGGCAGGGCCTGGGGTGGGGCAGGAAGAGGTGGGTCAGGGATGGGACCTTGGGGGAAGAGTGGAGTGGGGGCGGGGCCGGGGCTAAGTGGGGGTTGAGCACCCCCAGGGAAAATCAGAAGTTGGTGCCTGCGGTTCCCAGTCTCCAGGGCTACAAGGAAAAGGGGATCTTAAAAGACACACATACAGGAGAGGAATTGGTGAAACTGACTCAAAAACAATTTAGTTATATCCCCTTGGCAGACATCACTGATGAGTTTTCACCAATCCTCAGCTATATTCAGATGGGATAGGAGGTTGAATTGGTCCCTTCCACTCCCTCCTTTGAAATAGAGTTGCGGTGGATGGGGATTTTTTCTTCCTGATTTCTTTTAAGTCCCCAGTAATTAGTTAGTTTTTTCCCTCCCTTTGCTATTCTCTTCCCCCTCAGCACAGTGGATGATTCCTGTCTGGATTCTCTTTCTATCCCAGCAGGTGATGGGACGGTGAGTGAGAAAAAGAAGGAAGATTCTGAGCAGGTGGGATCACAGGTGACATTATCAGGTAGAGCCACAGGGAAAGTTTTCCAGAGCACTGAACAGGGAGAAGCCCGTCAGAGTCAGCGCAGGCCAGAGAGGCAGCTGGGAAACCAAGCAGGGGAGATCCAGCGTGAATCCACTCACAGGAGCAGAGGGTTCAAAGAAACCAAACAGCCTGTACTACAGAGAATCGCCTCTGGAGAGGAACTGAACTTATGCAGTGGCTGTGGGAGAAGCTTCCTTTGGAAATCAGCCCTTATTACTCACCAGAGAATCCACACAGGAGAGAAACCCTATAAGTGTCTAGACTGTGAGAAAAGCTTCAGCCGCAGCTCACACCTTATTTCACATCAGAGAACCCATACAGAGGAGAAACCATATAGATGCTCTGAGTGTGGAAAAAGCTTCAATCAGCAGTCCAATCTTCTTATACACCAGAGAATCCACACAGGAGAACGGCCCTATAAATGCCCCGACTGTGGGAAAAGCTTCAGTTACAACTCAGTCCTTATGACACATCAGAAAATGCACACTGGAGAGAAGCCCTATAAGTGTCTTGACTGTGAGAAAATATTTAGCCAGCGCTCAGACCTCACTAAACATCAGAGAACCCATACGGGGGAGAGACCCTACAAATGCAATGAGTGTGGGAAAAGCTTTAGTCTGAGCTCCCACCTTATTTCACATCAAAAAACCCATAAGGGAGAGAAACCCTATATATGCTCCAACTGTGGGAAAAGCTTCAGTGACAGCTCAAACCTTATTACGCATCAAAGGATCCACACAGGAGAGAAGCCCTACAAATGCCCTGAGTGCAGGAAAAGCTTCAGTCGTCTCTCGCACCTTAATAGACACCAGACAATCCACACAGGAGAGAGACCCTTTAAATGCTTGGACTGTGGGAACAGCTTTCGTGACAGCTCATCCCTCATCAGACATCAGAGAATCCACACACAAGAGAAACCCTAGAAGATGGGTGAAGTGAACAACAACATGGCTGATTCCCACGAATATCGGAGGGTCAGGTAAGACAGTACTGGCCATCTAATGAGGACATGCAATAGCTATTAAAGTAGATAATGAAATCACGTTCCTAGAACAGAGTCATGCAGAGCAAGAGGCAGAGATAAGATTCCCATGTTGTGATGAGATTTGATTATTACATCTCAAGAAGCTCTAAACGTCCTCTGATCAGCTCCTGCACTGAAGTTTTTTGATACAGACCTAGAACCATCTTTATCTTATGTGCTGTGACTTTGATTTATTCTTGATACTGTTTTAGTTAATTGATACATTCAGGAGCAGAGATGGACTCAGTTAGGTCAGAAATGCAATGATACTTGGGCTCTGGGCACTGAGTTGGGATGATGGTTTATTTGTGACTTTCTTGCTTTGAATGAAGAGGAGTAAAGTGGATCCCAGTTTCTCAAACTCTGAGACCTTTATCTGGAGATGTCAAGAATGTGAAGATGGGCCTCTGTGTAATGAAATGGGGCCTCTGGGAAAGTCTCTTTAAAGGTTTATTTTATATTGTATAATCTAGCTCGTATAATTACCCTGGAGTTCTGCTTTTTATTTCCTGTACTTACCATGAATTCATATATCTAAAATGTCTAACTAGATGACTGAATTATTGATTATTACCAGTGGAGTTACATGCTTTCACTAAAAAGAACAGGAGTACTTGTAGCACCTTAGAGACTAACAAATTTATTAGAGCATAAGCTTTCGTGGGCTACAGCCCACTTCTTCGGATGCATATAGAGTGAAACATATATTGAGGAGATATATATACACACATACAGAGAGCATGAACAGGTGGGAGTTGTCTTACCAACGCTGAGAGGCCAATTAAGTAAGAGAAAAAAACTTTTGAAGTGATAATCAAGATAGCCCAGTACAGACAGTTTGATAAGAAGTGTGAGAATACTTACAATGCTTTCACTGTTATGGGTCTGCAGTTGTCCTTTCTGATATATGTATCCACTACAAAAGTCCTGTAATAAGGCGGTAAAATTCCTGACCCAATTACTTGTGCTTAATCCTTCTACATTTAGAATCTAGGTCTATTAAATACACTGTAGTTCCATTGAAATTAGTTTGATATTTCATTTTTAGACAACAGGCACTTAGCACAAAACTATCAAAAAGTTTACTTCAGAATCATGCGTGTAAATGCACTGAAGCTAATTCCCTGGAATCTAAATATATGTGTTCGCCTGAGTGTGGAGCAAAAGCAATAGCAACAAGAGATTCCATAATAAAGTTAATTTGCAGCTTGTACAAACCAGTGGTAAGGATGGGTGAAAAGGAGATCACAGAGCAATTAAAGCCACTGGGCTGCAAAGGGAATCCAGTTTGTGTAACTGGAATTGGAAAGTGATAGAATCCGTGAAGATAGGTCTTTTCTACATGGAAAACATTTTCTGATATATGTGTTTCTTCTGTAACTGTACTGGCATAACTATAGGGGGGGAACGAGTACCGGTACACTGCTTTGTTATGCCAGTTTAAGCTATGACCCTTGTGAATTGTTGCATTCACACAGTGCTGCACTTTTTTGAAATAACAGTACAGCATTCTGGACAGAGATCTCTTGATGCAATATTTGCTGCTAGACTCTATGTACTGAGGTATTTTTCTTGTGGCTCATATTGAGATGTCTACCAGAACCTATTGGAATTCTGGGACAAGGCCAAGGAGTAACGGTCTCAAGTTGCAGTGGGGGAGGTTTAGGTTGGATATTAGGAAAAACTTTTTCACTAGAGGGGTGGTGAAGTACTGGAATGGGTTACCTAGGGAGGTGGTGGAATCTCCTTCCTTAGAGGTTTTTAAAGTAAGGTTTGACAAAGCCCTGGCTGGGATGATTTAGTTGGGAATTTGTCCTGCTTTGAGCAGGGGGTTGGACTAGGTGACCTCCTGAGGTCCCTTCCAACCCTGATAGTCTATGATTCTATGACTTAGTCTAACAAACTCCCATCTTCTGGCATCCCATAATTCATCTGATTTTTGCGAGTCAGAAACATTTTTCAAATTGTTTGTCAAGCAACATGGAGGAAATGCTACCAAGTACCAGGATCCAAAGAGTTGGGAGATAGCCACAGGGATGCTATGGTGATACATCTAGAGGCAGCGGCGCCAACTTTCTCCAGCGCTGGTGGGTGCCTGCGCCCCTGGCCCCGCCCTGACTCCACCCCATCCCCGCCCCCATTCCAACTCCATCCCCAAAGTCTCTGCCCTAACTCCGCCCCCTCCCTGCCCCTGTTGGATTCCTTCCCCAAATCCCCACCCCGGCCCTGCCTCTTCCCCCCAGCGCACGGTGTTCTCCCTCCTCCCCCCTCCCTCCCTGCCCCGCAAATCAGCTGTGTCGCAGCGCAAGCGCTGGGAGGGAGGGGGGAGAAGCAGGACGCGGCTGGGTGCTCGCAGAGGAGGCGGAGGTGAGCTGGAGCAGGGGGGCGGGGCGGGGCCAAGAGGAGCTGCCATTGGGTGTTCAGCACCCACCAATTTTTTTTCCGTGGGTGCTCCGGCACCAACATCAGAGTTCCCATCAGCTTGGAGAAGTGTGTGGCCATTGTCATCTGAATGCTCCCCACTCCCTGTTCTTGTCTTGGTGGGTGGAATGACATGGACAAGGACTGCGATTTAGGTGGCTCTCAGTATCTGTGTTCACAGACTGCAGGACATGGCTGTAGGGATATAAAAGGAGGTACTAACAGTGATTCCCCCAAGTGACAGTGACCCCCTCATAATTTGTCCCCCACACTTTAAAATCCAACAGTTTCACCAAGTACAAAAATCTCTTGGGTCTTCTGTTAAAACTTGTAAGCTACTGTCTGTAGAAACCATTAATTATATCTATCCTGTGAAAGATACTTTATTACTATGTAAAACTTACAAACAAGTTAACTGATTTTGTTCTTGAAGTAATTGATACAATGCAAACAAACACTATAAGCCGTTAAGTGACTTTCACTTCATTCAACGGCTCCTAGGACAGACCCTCACCCTCTGTGATTAAAGGGCCGGGAGTCTCAAATGAATTAGCACACACCCCGAAAGTGGTGGAGACAGTAAATTAAAATATGGTTAAGATATGGAATGTATGCTGATGAATGCTTGATATACATGAATAGTTAGGGAGGTGCCAGCCTAGAAAGGGAGTATCCATCGGCCGAAGAATGTGTCAAGTAGGACCACCAGACAACCCCCTGAGGGTAAACTGGGATCCACCCCATCACCTAAAAGGATGAGAAACACAAACTTTGGACAGTGTGGAGCCACCAGGAATGTGCCATCTGCTGATTGAGTCAGCAACAGCAGGATGAAACAGTTCCCATAGACGAACATAGGAATTAAATCCTATAAGAATGAACTCTCAAGACTGAGGACTTTGAGTCTCTGGTTCTTCTGCCAACCTCCAGGAGCATCAAGTGCACCTGACACAGACTCGGCTCCATCCTCATGACCAAGATACCTGGCCAGTAACTTGGCATGAGCAACTTCTAGGCTGGTAACTATAACACCTATACAGAACTTAAATGAATGATTGTGTAAATGAATCTCTCTCTCTCTCTCTCTCTCTATATATATATATATATGTGTATGTGTGTGTATAAGAAATAAGTAGTCAAACAACGTTGTTTACTTTTATCTTTTGCTTTATCAGTATATTTACAATAAATGTGGCATCTTTGCCTTATCCCTCTTAATAAGATCCTGCTGGTTTTTATTCTATTGGTATAACATTTTGGTGGAGAATTGCGAAAGGGGGAATATTGGTAAAATGACTCAGTTTTTGTAAACATTGGTGTGCACACCACCAAGTAAACTTAGCATAATACAATCTGGTTAACCAAACCTGCTGGCCTCCGGATAGGTAGCAGGAAAATAACAAATATAAGCTACGATTTCACAATCTAGGCTGTGTTGCTCGCTGAACGATGTCAGGAGCGACAGGAAAGTTTGAACAAGCTTTTAAAAATGTTCAAGAAAAGGTGCATACACCCTTAGTCGTAGCATGACTGAGCATAAGAGGAGAACTTAGGGTTTCTCGCTCTGCCCCTGGAAAGGGTTTTTATATTTGGTGTATGAACCCTCGGTGGTAGAAGCCCGAGCAATACAGAGGGAAGCTTAGCGTCTCTCCCTCTGGCCCAGAGTGGATTAAAATCATAAGATACCAATCTTGTTCTGTTAAACCAAACTCTGAAGAACATAGGAGTTTGGGCAGTGTAGTGTGGTGTTTGTTTGGTTTTTTTTGTGAGTGATATTGTGGTCATTTCACAATTTTGAAAGAAATGTTTAAGGAAAGGGACCAGGAAGGGTGGGGGCTGGTTAAGAAGCCCACCCTCCTTACTAAATTGGTAGTGGAACAAAGCTTGTGCCCATGGAAAGGAAAGGTTCATTGGAAAAAGCAGGATCAGGCCCAGACAAGCAGGCAAGCAACAGATAAAGAAATTGAAAAATTGGTTGGAAGCCTTAAGGGCATAGTGGCAGGAGTAAAAAAGCAGTAAGTACAGGCATGAATCTCTGGAACAATACTTAAAATGGTAAAATCTGATTAATAAAGGTGTCATTTTGGGAGATAAACAGTAATTTAAGGAAAAACCCTGAAAAGTTAACTCTACAGGGGCTGGAAAAAATTAAGCAGTTAAACTTTGTAAAAATGTTAAAAAGTACCATGTTAAAGAGAAAAGAAATTCTTGGTTTCTTTGCAGCCATTCTGAAGGAAAAATGGGCCCTTTTCCAAAGGAATGTCTGTAAATAATCCAGGTATTTGAAATAATTTGACTATGAACAATTTAGTCAAATTTGTTAAAAACATGAGGTGATTCTATTGCAACTTAACTGACCCAAAATGTATGAAGGGAATATAATCTATGTACAGCTATGTAAAAACAGCAATGTAGAAAAGATGTTAAGGGAAAAAAAATGTGTATGTATCTATTTGTCTGTGGAAATATGTAAAGTTC